GATTGTAAAACTCAGTCTTGGCAACATTCATTATGTTTTTGCTGTAAACTGTTACATACTATCTTAGGGAACCAAGACATCTGGAAAAAGAGACAAACTGTGAAACACCTTATTTCCTTTTCAAAAGGAGTAAGAAATTCAGTGTGTTGCTGGTTCATACAAGTCATGATAGGTTAATTGGAAGTCTATGAATGATGCCATTTGGGGAAAAAAAAAAAAGACAGTCATTACTGACCAGAGTTGTCAACTTAAATAGAAAACAAGAGAACTCAGCAGTCACAAACTTTATACACTCAATTTATATACTAAACATACAGGAAGGCACTGAGATTCCTCTCATTAGCATAAATTTCATTTCTCAGCCAAGCAGAGCCTGAGCCGCAGCCAGCCCGCTGCACTCCAGGGTTGATTAGCTGCTCCTATCACTACTTCAAGCCCTAAAGTTCAGTTGTATCCAACTAGTGTAGCCCTGCAGGGAACCCCTGACCATCCTACCCACACAGAGAACAAGTCCTCATTTTGCCCCCATCCAGGACCTTCCTCTGCAGCTACCATGTATGGAAAGCCCAGCAGCTTGGAGAACCTTCAGGGTGGGCCTCTTGTACCCAAATGTCTTTAGTCAAATGGCCCAGATTTCTTTACTTCCCTTGACTAATTTTCATTAAATTTACTCAATCTTGGGACCAGCAGATGGCATAATGGTTACAATGCTGGAATCCTATATAATCAACCATGGTTCAAGACCCAGTCCCAGCAACTTAAAACTTACACAAGGCAAGTGTGCGTAAATGCTCAAAATCCCAAGAGCAGAATGGAAAAGGGATTGCAGCATGGCCAACCCCCCCCCCACCACCACCCCAGGGGGATGATTTCTTGCTTTCTGTCTCTTCAGTGAGTGCACATGCCCTATAGCAAAATATATCTCAATTTAAAAAAATTTACTCAATTTTACCCTCCCCCAAAAATATCTTCTTTAGAAATGGCAAGAATATCTGGGATGAGTACATTAATTTAACCTATCTGACATAGTACTTAGTTGAAAATAGCCAGACCTGAGTTCAATTTTTCTTTTTTTTTTTTTTTTTTTAGAGATTTTTTCTATAGGATGTATGTACTCACTAGAGAGACAGATAGAGACAGAAATTGAGAAATAATCCCCCAGAAGGGATGGCCACACCATAATCCTTTCTCCTCCATTCTGCTCTTGGAATTTTGGGCACGCACACACACATGCCTAGGATGAGTTTTAAGCCACCCAGTCCGGGACTCAAACCGTGGTCAACTACATGGGACTACAGTGACCTAACCATTATACTACCTGCTGGTCCCTCAATTTTCATTTTAGTCAATATGTATTGGACCAGCTGTGGTGGTGCAGGCAATAGAGAACTACTCTGAAATGCTGGAAGCTGTGTGGAAGACTGGGAGTTCAAATCCTGAGCACACTTGGTCCTGGCTGGCTGGAAGACTGGGTCAGGGGAGGGCATGGCTGTGTGATGAGACCCTGTTAGAAGTTCCTGTCTCTTTTTCACTCTTTCTCACTCACTCTCTTTTTTGTGAAAAAAAAAAAAATAGACAAACTTAAATAAATAAACATAGATAAATAAACATTAATGTTCCAGGCATACTAAGTGGGCTAAATAAAGATGATAAATAGCTTCACAGCAACACATGTTGAGTTTTGCCACCAGATGTGCTTCCCCAATCTGTGGGTAGTGGGTGGAGGGAGAAAGATATTAAATAGGCAATGGCAGCAGTGATTAATGCCAAGAAAGAGGAACTAAAGGACACTGTACCAGCTTACAGCAAGGAAATTTAATCAGCCTGGGTTCAAGGAAGAGTAACCCAAGTGGAGATTTGTAGGATAGGTAATGTTAACCTGGTGAAGGGAGAGGAATGTTCTAGGCCCCAGCCCAGAGATAGTTAGTGACTGTGTATGTGGTGTGTTGGGAGTGGGGGGGGAGGGGTGACCTGACCATGGAAAATCTTGTGGAGTCTCATCCTCTTGCCAAGTGAGGTGACCGGAAGGTTTTGAGCAGGTGAATAGCCTCCATCAACCTAAATTTTAAATAATCCCTCTGGTTACAGTGAGAGAACAAATTGAATGGGCATGAGCCAATTAAGAATTTATTGCAAGGTTCAGGTAAGCAATGAAGAATGATTAGATCAAAGTGTCAATGGAATTGGGGAGAAGTAGAGAGTCAGACACCAAGGGGAGAGATTTTTGCCATAGAACATAGTGATCTTTCTCTAGGAAGTAAAGAAGAAGAGGAAGACTCTGGGTTTCTGGCTTGAACAGTGAAATCAATGGTGGAGTCCTACAATGAGGAACAGGTTTAGAGAATAAGATGATGAAAAAAAGAGAGAGAGTAAAAAGGGACCAGCAGTTAGCATAATGGCTAAGTCGCTGGACTCCCACGTAGTCGACAATGGTTCGAGTCCCAGACCCGGTGGCTTAAACTCATGCCTGGCGCATGTGCGTGTGTGCCCAAAATACCAAGAGGAGAATGGAGGAGAATGGATTGCAGCATGGTCTTCCACCCTGGGGGGTGATTTCTCGCTTTCTATCTCTCTGTCTCTCTCTGTCTGTCTGGTGAGCACACGCGCCCTATAGTAAAAAAACCTCTCCAAAAAAAAAAAAAAGAGAATAAGATGATGAATCCAATTCAGACACATTGCTTTTGAGGTGCCTGAAAGATGCTAGCTACTTGGCAGCACGTGGATGCAAAAGAAGGGCAGGGGAGAGGTGCCTGTCTGTAGAAGTCAGCCTCAGGATAGTCACCACCCAACAAGTGTGTGAAAAATAAAAAGAGAAAACAACAGCACTGAAGAGATGCGAAGAGGTGGTGGAACTGGTGGGCAAAGGAGACCATGAAGAAGCAGCCAGGGAGGTGAGAGGTAAACAGCATGAGTATAATGTCAAAGAATTAAGGTCGAAGAAGACCCAGACTAAGAAGTAGGCCCTGGATTTTGGGACCTGAACCTCATTCACTAGCTGCTTTAGGGAAGCAGACAATGGGGTGAAAGCCAGGTTCCATCAGGAAAAGAAGTAAATGCGAGGTGAAGAAATGACCCCAAAGAGTAGGCAACATTTTCAAGCAACTGGGTTGTACAGGGAAGGAGAGAGAAAGAGGGTGACGTCTGGAAAAGAATATGGGGTGGGGGGGCAGTTTTTGTGTTGTTTGTATGTATGTACATTTCAAAGCTAATGCATTTAAGTGAGTAAACAAGGGCAGTTAAAGCAAGCCAGGATTGTGATTAACAGAGGGTCTGAAATAAAGAGGGCCTGACATCTACCATGGAGGATTCAGCTGACTTTATACCAGAGGAATGACACTTCCTCTGTGGCGACAGGAAAAAAATGGGTCTGATGCCTGTAGGCCTACAGAACTTTCCCTGGAAGAGAGCGGAGTTCCTGCCAAAGGGCTTCCAGCTAGCTGCTCTGTGTTGCAGGAGGCCAAGTCAGCCCACGAGTGAACCAAGAGGCATGGGCTGAGGTCTGAGGAGAGCGGAGGCAGTCTGAATGAGGGGTTGTGCAGAATAGGGATATGAGCTGGCCATGGTGACATGCTGAAAGCACAGAGGCCCAGCTGAGAGGGCAGAGCCATGAGCGAGCCATAGTGGCACCAGTGTGCCTGGGTGTGACCTTGTCTGGGTGTGACCTTGTCGTGCAGCCTTGGCAGCTGGGGTATAGTGGTGACTAGCAAATGGCTGGATTCATGCCGAGCTGGGGTGTACACTGGAGGAACAACAGGGCAAAGGAGTTTAAGACATGGTAGAAGGTGGTTAAAGAGATGGCCCATAGAGTCCAGGCTGGATAGAGAGGTGAGTGTAAGCAGTGGAGTAGCCAGCAGAGGTTAAAAAAAGAAAAAAAGAAAAAAAGCCAAAGGAAAGAGACTGCACTAAGGAGAGGAAGTAGATAAATTCAGAGCATAGAACACTTAGGGTTGTTTGTATGTATGTACATGATGAGCATAGCCAGAGGCTTAGGCTGTGGTGGGACACTGCATTTTGCAGGGATGATGATAAGAACAGCAGGTGAACAAACCAGATCATCTCTGTCAGATTCAACGGCTTGCCAAGACCAGGCTGGTGCTCAGGAAAAAGAAAGAACAGTGCAAAGGGTGCCACGAGTGGTGTGCAGAAGAGCAATAACCCCACATCTCCTTGATCAAGCAGGGCTGCTACACAAAAAGTACAGAGTACTACACAAAACATACAGAAACTGAAAAGTTTTCTGAAATCTTGTTTTGATTTCTCACTAAAAAGACTTTATTCCTGTAATGAATGTCTTGAGAGAGAGAGATGCTCAGCTAGAGGAAGACAGAAGTTACTCCATACAATTTAGGATTAGCTTTGAATTCCAATCATTTCTGCCATGGACCTGACATGTGATGTAATAAGATGACTTTTTAAAGATAATGTAATAGCTAATACTTATTGGTACTTCCTATATGCCAGCCACTATGCTAAGAATATTACATGTTTATTTCGTTCAATCTCCATAATTCTCTCAGGCAGGTACTTTTATGATAGGGAGGGAAACTGAGACCTATTGAAGTTATATAGGTCTGTTCACCAGTATTCCAGATTTTTTTTGGAGAAGTTTTTGCTATAGGGCGCATGCGCTTACCAGAAAGACAGAGAGAAACAGAGAGATAAAAAGTGAGAAATCACTCCCCGGGGGGGATGGCCATGCCGCAATCCCTTCTCCTCCATTCTCCTCTCGGGATCTTGGGCATGCATGCACACGCGCCCGGCATGAGTTTAAGCCACCGGGTCCAAGACTGGAACCATGGTCAGCTACATGGGAGTTCAGCGATGTAGCCATTATGCTAACTGCTGGTCCCCAGTATTCCTGATTTTTCATATAAAGATAATAATCCCAACAGGCACATTATGAGGCATGAATGTTGCACAGTTCACCTAAATTCTAAATAATAATTTTCATTATATAAAGACAATGATTTTTTTAAAGGTTTAAAAATCTCAATACTAACCTATATTTCTCTGAATTAGCATGCACTCCTTCTCCTTGGTGGGAAAATAGCTCCTACTTGAGATGCCAAAGTCAAAACAGTACTTGTTCTTCCCCATTTCAAACAAAGTGCAGTTAAATACCGTTTTCCTCTCTCCCAGTGCCAGGCTGTTTTCAGCCAGCTGAATGGTCCTCTCCCCAGGGCGTCTGGGGGCCTCCTTAAAGACAGCAATCACCCCTTGAACAAAGATGCATGGTGGAGGCAGCACCATCACCTCCACGCCAGACTCACATGTGAGTTCTGGCACCACCTCTAGTTTGTATCCAAATTTCTGGGCCAGGTCAATGGGTCCTGTGGAGGTAATGATTGAGTCTCGGCCAAGTAGCTTCAGTACCACAGTGACATAGGCCTCTGGCCCCACAGGTGCGCAGGCAAATTCAACCCACTGACCTTGAGCAAGTTCTGTCCTTTTGCTGGTTCTTATCTTCAATGGCTGTCCAGGGCTTGTTCTTGCCCCGGGAAGGCTGTTGGTGAAAATAACATCCACCAAGATTTTGGGCTTTTCCACAGGAAATGGGCATAGTGGTTGATTGGTAAAAAGGCCCACCTGGAAGGTGCCTTCTGCTGCCTTGGATGTCCTGTTCAAGTCAACATGAAAGATGGGCCATTCCACCTTCAGAAAGGCACTTTTCTCCCACCAGGGGTCTGCAGTGCTATTGTCTACTGCTTCTGGAGTCATCATTGTGAACTGGTAGTCACCAGCTTCCTTGAAGTAGAAGCACTCAAACTCGAGTGTTCCCTGAGACTGATTGGTCAGAAGATACTTGGTGACAAGAGTCTGATTGGTGTTGGCTTCTACCAGCAGGACAGTCACATTCCTCAGCATCCCATCAGCACCATCAAAATACTGGAACGCCACAGACACTGTGTTGTTGCTCAGCGCTATGTGGCCTGGCTCCCCCAGGAGCAGATGTTCGGCTTCTCCAAGAACTGAAACAAAATGGCCAGAATTGGATTTTAGAATGTGCATTTGAGCAGCACTATTGGAGATTTCTTTCATGTCAAAACAAGTATTTTAATTCCATTTTTCCACTAACATTTCTAAGTCCCCTCATATATATATATATGTAATGAAAATCTATAAGGCGGGAACCAGCAGTTAGTGTAATGGCTATGTTGCTGGACTCCCACGTAGTCGACCGCGGTTCGCGTCCCAGATCTGGTGGCTTAAAACTCACGCCGGGCACGTGTACATGCGTGCCCAAGATCCCGAGAGGAGAATGGAGGAGAAGGGATTGCGGCGTGCCCATCCCCCCGGGGGGTGATTTCTCACTTTCTGTCTCTATGTCTCTCTCTGTCTGTCTGGCGAGCGCACGTGCCTTATAGCGAAAACCTCTCAAAAAAAAAAACTATAAGGCTAAAATAACGGTTTATAGTACTCAGAATAAAATTCCAATACCTTACATTTCTCATTTAATCACATTCTGATGTTCACGTATTCAGGAGAAATTGAATATACAATGAAATGAGAGAAAACTTGATTTAAATAACATGATACAAATCGCTATAATTTATTTAAAATGTAAGACCCTAAGTTTACATCACTGCTATTATTTCTGATACTCAAGGCAAGTACTTGGAAATTTTTACTGGTAAAGGAGCTAATGTTCTCAGTTTATATGAGGATAAATTTTTATTTTTATTTTATTTTATTTTATTTTATTTTTTTGGAGAGGTTTTTTTGCTATAGGGCACACGCACTCATCAGAAAGACAGAGAGAGACAAAGAGACAGAAAGTGAGAAATTACCCCCCAGGGGGATGGCCACGCTGCAATCCCTTCTCCTCCATTCTCCTCTCGGGATCTTGGGCAAGCATGACCGGCATTGAGTTTAAGCCACCAGGTCTGGGACTTGAACCACAATCGACTACATGGGAGTCCAGTGACATAGCCATTACACTAACTGCTGGTCCCAAGGATAAATTTTTAGATGGATAAGAACTGTTGACAGTTTATTCTGCATGAGTCACCCAAAGGATAGAGTAAGTGTTAATGAAATAACTAGGCTTGTCCTTGGCAACTGTAATGACATTTGGACAACTAGTAATGGCCTAGATAGAACAGATGATTACTAGTTTCCCAAGTATCATTCAGTTAGGATCAATCATGTTTTTTAAAAGAGACCCAGCGAAGCAGCTGAAGTGAAGAGTACAAAGAACACACAGATACACAAGAATCCTTGTTTCTGTTTTGAACCCCATCCAAATACATATCAAAGGAGACAGAATTTGGCAATGTAACAATCAGCTGGCCCATGGCTGGGTAAGAAAGATTCTAGATTTAAGGGACTGCAGTGCCCTTTTGGTATGAAAAGCAACCTGTGTAAGTATGAATTTACTATTCTTATATACATATATCATATCTGTCCAAAAAGACTCATTTGTTTTTCATTTGGACTGGTAGTCTTTAAAATACCCTTCTATGTATTCATGACTATTAGAATCATCACATGAATACATTGGCACGTACAAGTCTTTTTTAATTAGCACAGTACTTTTACTGTTTCTTATCTGACATGAGGTGCAATAAAATATATAAAACTTAGATAGATTTAAATGCTTGATCACCACTTGCTTGAAAACCGTAATTGGATTAAGCGTTCTTTTTTGTTTTTTTTTCCTCTCCCAGAACAGAACTTCAGGGATATGTAGACAACTCAAGATTGAAGAAAGTGGCTGATTCTGATCAGCTAGTGTGTTGGTTCAGAGCTGACGTGGTATCTTTCATGAACTAGTGGCTACAGAAACTTCAGTGCTCACCATAGCCCAAGGAAAGAGGTAAAGCTGAGAACAAAGTCATATTAATTTGAATCTTAAGGAGACAAGTGTTTCTATGGTGCATCTTTAAGAATATATGGTAGTTGGTGCCAGCAGGTGATGTGGTGGCTAAGGCACTGGACACTCCTACATGGCTAACAATGGTTCAAGTCCTGGACCTGGTGATGAGCTCTCTCACTTTCCCTCTCTCTATTTTTCTCTGTCTCTCTCTGATCAAATTAAAATAAATAAATGAATAAATAAAATTAAACAAATCTTTTTTTTAAAAAAAAGTATATGGTAATGTCTTTGACCTAACTATATGCACTGTATTCATGCTGGGGAAAATCCATGTTGTACACTGTAAAGATGTACAATAATTAAATGAAAATCAAAAAAAAATTTAAGCAGCTTATACCACTTAGTTTATTGTGAATGACAAGAATTGTCAGTGAGGCAGATCAATTTGATTTGATGGGAAGCCAATCAATGAAAGACACATATTCCTATTGGAAATAGAAACAAAGATGCAATTGTTGGGTTCCAACAGCAGCAGATTAAGAGGTGTGTACTGAAGGGAAAATTTGCTATTTAGTCTAGAGTTCTGGTTCCAGAGACACTAATACATTCTCATTTAGAAAACTATAATGTGCTAGAGGGTGGACAACCACACAGCAGTAAAACAGTAAAACACAGCACTGGGTTCGTGTTTGTATCTGGAGACCTTCCTGTGTATAACAGGTACACGCACGCCCATGATCCAGGGCTGGCTTAGCCTGAGGTGGGTTATGGCATCAAGATCTTGTTGGGGAAGTTGTCTCTCTCTGTCTCTCACTCACAGAATAAATAAATAAACTTTTAAAAAGGTACAGTTTGGTTCTACCACATCTTAAGTACTATAGTATTGTTTATTCTTTCGTTTCCCTTCTGCCTGTTTCTTTACTGTATGTAAAATGACTACTGTCTCTATACATGCATATTGCTCTTTTTTTAAAAAGATTTTTATTTAACTTTATTTATTTATTTTAATTTGACCAAGAAGGGACAGAGTGAGAGTAAAAGTAAGAGAGAGAGAGAAAAAAAAAAATGAGAAATCAAACAGTTTGGTCTGGGACTTGAACTGCAGTAGGTCATGTGGAAGTCCACTGCTCTTAACCATCATGCCACCTGCTGGCCCCCATATTGTTTTTTAAAAAACCCAACAAGGGGTCAGCAAGTGATGTAGTGATTAAGGGCACTGGACTCCCACATGGCCGACTGTAGTTCAAGTCCCAGACCTGGCAACTTGCTTTCTCACTTTCTCTCTCTCTTTCTCCCCCCCCCTCTCTAGTCAAATTTAAATAAGTAAATAAATAAAGTTAAACAAAATAATTCTTAAAAACAGACAACTAAGAAACTGGTAATGGTAGCTTTTGATCAATACCAAGCAGTAATGAAGGGAGAGGGGGAAAACAGATCTCTGGTGCTAGCCCTACAGTGCAGCTGTTATCCCCTGTGCATCAGGAGCCAGATCCTACATGGCTAACCGTGATTCAGATCCTGGCACCAGTGGCTAAAAACACGCTGAGCATATCTGTGTACATGTTCAAATCCTGATGAGATGGGGAAAGGGAGGGAAAAGACCGTGGTATGATTATGGCCCACTTCAGGGTGCTTTCTCTTTCTCTGGTGAATGCATATGCTTTCTGGCAATAATAAATAAACAAACAGATCTATGAAAATAACTTACGTTCCATTAGCAACCTGTACACTCAATTTCTATATTGTTTTATGCTTATTCAACTTATTTTTATATGCCAATGAGATATTTTGCTCTTTTTTTTTCCCTTTTTTTTTTTTTTTTTTTTTTGAGAGGTTTTTTCTATGGGGTGTGTGCGCTCGCCAGAAAGACAGAAAGAAATCCCCCCCCCCCCAGAGGGGATAACCACTCTGCAATCTCTTCTCCTTCATTCTCCTTGGGATCTTGGTCATGCCCACACACGTGCCCAGTGTGAGTCTAAGCCACCAGATCCGGGTTAAGCCACCAGGTCCGGGACTCAAATCGTGGTTGACTACATGGGAGTCCAGCGACATTGCCATTATGCGAACTGCTGGTCCTGATATTTTGCTCTTAACAATGAAATGCATCCATGTTTAAATGGAGAAATTTGATGTTTTATTTATCATTATGAAACCAGGGACACCTACAGGTTTTTTATAGGATGCTATTGTATTGAGCAGTCTATTCTTAGGTAGGGATAAATTACTTTAAAAGAAATTAACCCCACATTAGTTTTCTTTAAATCAAGTGTCTTCTTGCTTAAATAAACTTATTAAAAAAGAAAAGACTGAGAAAAGAGATCTGCTAGATGCAATGAACAACACACAGTCTGGTCTAGTTAACTGGCTGTGCCACTAATATTATACAAACCACTACTCTCTATATCTCTTGGACCACAATTTGTTCATCAAATTTGAAAATGATTTCTACTCCCACAGCATCAATTGCTTCTATGTCTATATAATATTTGGAAATTATCAAAAATCATATTGTTAATTCTGTTGGTTCTATAGAACATGTTGAGAACTGAACTCAATTTTCGTTGAGACAAGCTGAATGAAGAAAACAAAATTAAGCATCTCCTGTATGCATAGACATTCAAGGTATTTCACACTCTTGATTTTATTTTATCCTAACAACCTGTGAGGTCAACGTACTGCTAAAGTTGGGAGACTAAGAAACTTGTCTAAGAGGATGGAACTGGCAAGGATTGAAATTCAGATGGCTCCAAAGATACTCTAGCAGAAAAGTTCTCTTGTCAAGTGAAATATTATGTAGAATCCCAATATACGAAAAATCAGCATGTACTTGTATGTGTAGGTGTGTGAAGTGATTTATAATAATGAATCACTGGGAGATCAGTCAAAGAGAACTCAGAGTAACATGCTTGTTTCCAATTCGTTAAAAGAGGAGTTGAGTTGTTTTGTTGTTATTTAAGAATTATTTATTTAATTTCATTTATTATTATCAATTTGCTATAAGGCAAGGATGAGAGGGAGGGAAAGCAAAAGAGCAGGTTGCCAGATCTGAAAGAGCAAGTTGCCAGACCTGGGACTTAAGCTGCAGTAGGCCACATGGGAGTCCAGTACTTTAACACCCATGCCACCTACTGGCCCCATGTTTTTATTATTTCTTTAAAAGAACTGAAAAAACACTTCAGTGAAACTGGAACCAATTACACAGAAAGCCTGAAGCACCCTAACCAGAACAGAGAGTTCTTTTTTTTTGGAGAGGTTTTTGCTATAGGGCGTGAGAGCTCGCCAGACAGACAGAGAGACATAGAGACAGAAAGTGAGAGATCAGCCCCCAGGGGGGATGGTCACGCCACAATCCCTTCTGCTCCACTCTCCTCTCGGGATCTTGGGCACGCACGCACACACGCCCGGCATGAGTTCTAATCCACCGCGTGAACCGCAGTTGACTATGTGGGAGTCCAGCGACATAGCCATTACACTAACTGCTGGTTCCCAGAACAGAGAGTTCTAAGGATCAGTTTTAAAGGCACTGCATGCAGACTCTACCCTGCTTCCTTCATGAAAGGTCCTCAATATCAGTGCCGCTATAAACCTCAGACTGATATTTCTTTATTGATACCTATAATATTATCCTCATAATACTCACCATAGTCACAGAGAACCACCAACAACAAATTTGAAAAGTCTTTCAACATCGGTTTCATTCTGATCAGCAAAATCCCAGGTCTTTAGTCTCCTCATGTCCTTTCTCACATCCAAATTATAATTTTTTTTGAAAGCACCTGAAACAAGAACCTCAAAAAATGATGACGCCATTCAATGTGATTCATAAAACAATAATCATGAAATGACAGAAACATTCTATCAAGTCAGACTTTCCAGTGATACTGAAAGGAAATTAGGGAGGACACTAATTTTCCCTGGGGCAATGAGTTCCTTTAGGTCCATTAGAACTAGTCAAGGACATTCAGATACACCAAGATTATAGAACACTGAAGTCTTTTCTTTTTATACTACGTCCTTAAGTGGAGAATTTGTTGTTATTTCCTTAATTTTATGAAGCTAATGGTGAATCTACATAACACATTTTCACATTATTTATCTGCTTGACATTTCACACTGATCAATTTACTAAATGCTTGCCAAACTCTTAGCATTGTGCAGTCAAACCCTCCCTGCCCAGCTTCCACAAGTGGACTATTAACATACTAATTATGAAAGGAAGTGTTATCTGGACTGCTTCATTTCTTGATTTTTTTTTTTTTTTGAGAGACTTTTTTGCTATAGGGCATGTGTGCTCACCAGAGAGACAAAAACTGACAAATCACCCCCCCAGGGGGGATGGCCATGCCACAGTCCTTTCTCTTCCATTCTCCTCTTGGGATTTTGGGCATGCACGTACACACCTGGCATGAGTTTTTAGCTGCCAGGTTCAAGACTTGAATCACAGTCGACTAAGTGGGAGTCTAGCAACATACCCATTATGCCATCTGCTGGTCCCGATTTTTTTTTAAAGAAAGATTTTTAGGGGACCAGCACTTAGCATAATGGCTAGTTTACTGAACTCCCATGTAGTCAACCGTGGTTTGCGTCCCAGACCCAGTGGCTTAAAACTCATGCCAGGCATGTGTGCTTGCGTGCCCAAGATCCCGTGAGGAGAATGGAGAAGGGACTACAGAGATGACGGCACAACCCCCCCCCCTGGGGGGTGATTTCTCGCTTTCTGTCTCTTTGTCTCTCTGCCCATCTGGCGAACACATGTGTCCTATAGCAAAAACCTCTCCAAAAAAAAAGAAAGATTCTTAGTATAGGACACTCACTGGAGAGAGAGTCAGAGAGAGAGAGAGAGACAGAGAGAGACAGAAAGTGAGAAATCACTCCCCGGGGGGGCTGGCCACACCTCAGTCCCTTCTCCATTCTCCTCTCAGGATCTTGGGCACACATGCACATGCACCTGGTATGAATTTTAAGCCACTGGGTCCTGGACTCAAACCGTGGTCGACTACATGGGAGTCCAGCGACATAGCCATTACACCACCTGCTGGCCCCATTTCTTGATTCTTAAGAAAGACATTTTTAAAAAAGATAACCAGAATATGACAACTAAGTGTGAACTTTATGTAGCTTTGACTTTCCTTGTTTAGGACAGTCTGAGGAGAAAACAGATAAATAACAATTATCATCTTCTGTCAGTCTTCCAATACTGGCTGCTGGTATGTATCAGGAGAGATGATTCACGCAGCAATCTTCCCAGACCACCTAGGAGGGCAGGGATGACCTTGCTGGTCCCTGGTTCAGGATGATTTGTGGGAAGAAGCACTTACTTTAACCAAAACAGACTATCAGACTATAGAATAAGAACTGGGGTAGTTAGGGCAAGTTTTTTTCATACTGGGTCTATAAACTATGTGCTATTAAATATAACCAAATACATGTTCTTAATGTTCACAATCCCCCTATTGTTCAGTTAATATATTTCATTTAATAAGCAAGTGATTAAGTTATTAAAAGAGTTAATCGTCAAGTATATAATTTTGAAAATAAATGTCATAGCCCTTCAGATAAGAACAGAAACTAACGGAATTAAGACAATTGATTGAAAAAAGCCAAAATTCAATGGAAAGGAAACTGGTGTGTCTCTACCAGCTTTCTTTCAGTAGGAGTTGGTTGAACAAAGGAAATACTGTACTTCCTGAAAGGGAACCAGACATTTGAAGTCTAATTATGCAGATGATTAGAGCTCCCTCCCCTCCTCAACAAGGAAAAAAAAAAGAGAGAGAGAATTTTGTTTCGGTGGAATTAGCCACAGGCTTGAGCCAATTCTTTTCTTGGACGTACATTGGGAACCCTGGCCAAAGACAGCAGGTGAGGCTCTTGCAGAAAGCGTTGTCCTATCTCTTGAATAAGTGTGGACATTTACGGAAATCAAAACGCTTCTTTTAAGTCACTGATACTCAGTAATCAAACCAAGGAGAGGCAAGCTCCCCAGAGCTTCTCTCAAAGTGCTTTGCTTCTCCACAATAACTGTTAAAACAAAACACCCCAATCATAATTAATTTTGTGATTATAATACATTCTAATGAAAACTACCAGTAGCACATAGACTTGTGAGGTCTATATTTAAAGTTGACTAGAAATGGAATTATAAAATAAGCCAGCCTACCTACAAGTCATACTATGGATTATGATTATAACCATATCATGATCTGGACCCTTCGATCTTTTTGTCTACCTTGTTGATTTTCTTTTAACATGTTTCCAGTACAATGACTAACTACCTAAAATATCTGGCTTGAAAATCATTTTAAGAAATAAAAATTTTAGGTATATTTTATGCATATTTAAAAATACTTCCACACAGCATTCACATACATGTTTATAGATAAGAGGGTGGGAGAGTCATGAGTATTCTCAACGACTAAGGGCATCATCCAGCCTTATATCCCATGTTCTCACTGAAACCAGCTAAGATAAACGCTTCTATATGCCCCCTTCATAGCTGCAGAAAAAGAAAATCAATATGCTAATTCCATGCGACTGACTTATTAAAGAATAGTAAGAAAAAGTAGCCAAGTGACTTTGTTCCTCACGATAAACATGCATATGTTGCTGTGTATTGCTAAGAATAATATTTATTAGGAGGAAATTCCTAATTTCAAAGCAGCCCGTGTAAGCAGACTTCATTTGTAATATATACTCAGTGGAGTCTGCTCGGCCCCGGTCTCACCGGCTGGGAGCAGCTTCCCTGGGAAGCTGAGCGCTCGCCCCAACTACTCAACTTTCCAAAGGCCGGCAAGTCAAGCTCACGCTTGGAAATCTTGCCTTGATGCCGTCAGCATAAAACCCTCTCAATAAGCCAGTTTTGGAATGCTTACATCTCATACTGTTTGCATCATCCAAGAAAGGATTTCTTTTTGTAAGGAAAAAAAAAAAAAACACCAAACACCTCATCCTGCAATGTTTAGTATCCCAAGATGCGATTTTTCATGGGTCCCAACAATTCGCATTCAACAAGCGTCCGTGCCTTCTGTCACCCGGCAACACCTGCGTCAGGCAAGAGCCAGGTTGTGGTTCAAGTTAGACTCCGAGGAGTGGAGACCGACACGGTTTTAAAGCGTGTCCCCAAGAGGCTGAGGCAAGCGCTAGGAGAGAACGCGGGCGTCCACCTGAGCTTTGGGCGGCCTGGATGCGCAGAGTGCAGGGGCGTTTTCCAACGCCAGCG